AGATGACATGAACAGATAAGAACATGGGACAAACTCGGGCGTACCACAATAATCGGGGTGCATTTCATCAATGAACATCTTGACCTCTAGTTCCACATTATCGACGCTTATTCCACGCAGCCACGTGAATGCTTCACCTTCTTCGCACACCTTGTGGGCAGGCACCCTAACAACACACCACATCCAGTGGCATACTCATCAACACGCCACATAAAGTGGCATTCTCATCTTCCTCAGAACACCACATGAACTGGCACCCTCACCTTCCTATGAGTACCACATGGACTGGCGCCCTCACCTTCCTCAGCGCTCAGGTTGAGCACGTCCTGATCGTCGTCTTCGTCCGGTGGGGCGGGGACGGGGGCGTTCGCGGCCCGCCGGCCGGCCGGGGCAGACACGCGCGGGTGGCGGCGGCCATCTGGCGAGCGGCGCCGCGCCGGGCGACCTTCCGCGCCGCCAGACGACTCCCGAGAGCGGTGTGCTTCCGACCCCGACCGCGGCGCCGCCTTCGCCTTCTCCTCCCTTTTCGGTACCTCAGAGTCTGGTCTTTTCGAGGCTCTGTCCTTCTCTTTCTTGGATTTGTGTGACTCGCCTACTGGCCGCTTGCGTTCCTTCTCTTTGGAATCATCCACCTTCCCTTTCTTAGCCACTTCTGATCCCACTTCCGAGGATTTCCGTTTCTTTTCTTTTTCCTTGCTAGCACTTCCCTTGCTGCCCTTTTCATCTGATTCACCTTTGTCTGGAAAAGTGATAAGTGGTACTGAGATTGGGGGGGGGGGGGGGGGGGGAGAGAGAATCCAGGAGCAATCAAATTGGCATTCTTCTATCAAATACTGAAACACAGTTGAAGCACTACTTTATGTGTCAATGTCATTCAATACCCATTTTATACAACACAACACAAGAATAACAACCTTTCCACAGAGTATCTGTTTCTGAGGGCAAGATCACTGCTGGGTACCTTTAGCCTGCAGGGTGATAGTCTGCAATTTGTCCAGCACTTGTTGCAGCCATTCAACAAAAGCCACTGTATGGTCACTGAGGAATAGGGACAGATCACTTTCCATCTGCTTCTTAGTCTTCTTGTTGGCAACAAGTACCATGATGTAGTCTGGTAACTCATCATCTGAGGGGAATAAAAAAAGCTGTGCTCATGTAACTGTTATCATGCTTGGATTCTTGCCGCCATATAAAAACACCCCAGGTGGATGAGTGGAAACAGTCTCACCATAGTCTTTCAACACTCCACATAGTACAACCTGGGGTTTGGACCCCAGTTCACAGCATTGACACTGATGCATGTCATCAAAACAACACAGAAAATGTTTCTATGAACCTCCATGCAATAAGCTGTGATGCTTATGAGGCATATTGCCAACTGTCTAGCCTGCAGTCATCTCTCACTTGCATGATTAAAATGGGCATTCAAGGTTTTCATAGCATACAGTTTATTGAGGGTTGCAACAGAATATGAATATAGTTTCAAAATATGCATAAAATTTTGGCTTCAGTCACCAAATGTTGTGTTGAGTCGAGTCTTGTCCCCATCACAATACAAATATGATCAGAGCAACCACCATTATCAGTGCAAGCACCATGGGTGGTTTGTACTCAAAGCTGACACCAGGGTACACACTGTAAAGCATGGATGAGGCCATGTTGCTGCAGGAGGGTCAATTGCATAAACATCCATGGGCAATCCAACACATCACTCTGGATGCAAAGGAGATAGAGGACATGTGATGGAGGTTAGAGCAAATACACTGGTCTATGGTTTAGTGGATGGGGTCACCAATGGTGTGTTTAAGCAATATGCTCAGCTAGACCTCTATTGTGTAAGACATGGGCTTTAAAATGTCAGGGAAAACCATTGCTAACATGTGAATGATGACAGCAGCTAAGCAGCACATTTCTAAATTGTGCAAACTGAGGAGGTCAAGTTCTGTTGTGCACTCACCAACATAGACACCAAGCTCTACCAGCTTTGCTCTGATAGCACTCTTGATCTTCTTGCTTATTTCTGCACCCAGGTAATCCATGGTAGAGCCTTCAAAAGAACATCACAGGCAATAATTTCATAACAGTCAAACAGGTCTACATGGCTAGACAACACACAGTATAATGAAAACATGAATTCAAAATGTGCAAAACATGAGATATGTAATAAATAGAAAATACATAACAATTTTCTATTATAAAAACTCTAATAACCAGGTACTGGTGCTCTATGCTTCAGAAGTTCAACTTGAACTTCACAGAAACATTCCCTAGTTTTGGTCTTAAACTTTTGATTGAATGCTCCAGATATATGCCTATTCCAAGAAATGCCAATTGTATGACTCCTGCTCATGTCATCCAATCATACAAATTTGGGTCACAGAAGAACTTTTGTGTGGCAAAAGCTTCACATTTATAATCCTTGAATGGTCTGTCCTGGCTACCCACTGAAATCTTTGCTTGCTCCATGTACTTCAAGCCAACATCCAAATGATTTAAATCTAGCCTAGCAGTGAACTTTGCCAATGCCTTTGAGCATGGCAGGACAGAAGAAAGCATTAATGATGTCATATGACACTATGACATGGCTGCACTATACAAACAAGACAATCTCTGACTACATGCCACCTTACTACTTTACAGTGGTTGCAACACATGATAATACTGGTGATGTTATATGATGCTATAACATCGCTGCCTCAAACAAATGTGACAATCTCTGGATATATGTCATTGTATCACTTTTAAGTGCTTGCATCACATGATAAGGACATGACATGATTAGTGACATATGAAACTATAAAATGGCTACATCATACAAGCATCACAATCTCTGGCTACATGCCACCTGACCACTTGCAGCAGATCATGGTCTGCAATCTGCTGCTAAAGCAGCACCTGCCGTGAATTTTTACATTACTTAAATGCAGACAGTATGCAGACACACTGTTAAGTATGAAATATACACAATGTATGCCTCCAGCTTATCATCTTGTCCTAAACATATGTAAGAATTGAAAAATTTTGGATTTTCAGTTAACTCCGCAATAGCACTTTTTTGCAGAGTGGGCAGCATGGCCTGCTTGGAGCCATTCAACATCTAGCCTACGACAGGTAGGCACATTGTGCGCTTAGTCGAATACGACCAAGTGCCATCCATGCCAAACCCTTTTCCTCAATCTCATTGAGCCGACAAGATGGGATAATCTAATCAATCCACAGTAGCTTAAGACGTGCCACATAATCTTCACGCTGTTTTTCCCTTCATTCCACACATCCGAATCCCCAAAATTCCGATGTCACGGTTCTCCAATAATACATCTATCGTCATACCCCCCACACATTACATACAATGCACTACACTGACGATGCACGCCAATGTGCCAATGCCGTCAACGCAGTCACAAAAATTGACTATGGCAAGGCCAATGCCAGGTGGTACCGTGCTGAAAGCGCACTCACGGCGAATATCCATATATGACGTCACTGAGAGTACGCCGTTTACGTCATGACGGCCGCACACGTAGTAAAGCACATGAGTGATTGCATGCATTACGACACGTTTGATGGATGGAGTCGTAAGGTCAAGGCATATTTAAAGAGATGGGTAATTATAACAGAAATGTGTGATTTTGAGGGAATTCAAGAACCGAGGCGGTAATATAGGATCCAAGAAGTAGGCCATTTTGGAACGATCCGCCGCGCTCGACGCTAAAGAAGCGCTCGGACACAGCTAATCATTTGTCACTTCGGAAGCACTAGATGTACTGAAACCGCACTCCAAAGATTACCATTGTTATGTGCCTCACAACCACCGCCCTCCGGTAAATCCAGGAATTTGCATCGAGGTGGAGCGGTGGGGCGGGTACCCCCTCCAGCGACTGCCGATTTCAATTAAGGGAGCACCAGCCCTACAACAAAAGAACTCAGATATCACTCGCGCCATTTCATCAAATCAATGAAAAAAACAGGAAATACACACTTGGCTAATAAATTTACACCGAAGAGATTATACAAAGATTTTCACCAGCTGCAGTGCAGCGCTTCTGACAGAATACTGAAATTTTCCAGGCAAACACGAGTTGCACTTGTTAAAACAAATGTTTGACCCCTTGCGATTTGCGGTCTAAATTCAAGGGATACTCAATATACCTGCAGAACCCAAACAAAAAGTTCTGGCACCACTTCTGAGTTTTATCAGGTCAGAAGAAGTCCAATAAACCACTGAATTTGGAAAGTGTTGGCCATCTACTCCACGCAGTCGTTTGGCGCCTGGTTTCATCGGTTCATTGACGTCAAAACTAAACCAGAATTGATCTCGCAGCAGCTTCTGGTTTCTGTCCAAGCTATAGAAAGTAAAAATTTGCGAAATAGTGCCTGTTGTTAACAAGTGGGCCATATCCGACAATTGGATCAGCCTTTCACCACCTGGGGTCCTTGCTCAACTCTGTGCCCCCTTCTCAAGGCTCTGAATGCGCTCTGCTGGCTGGCATTGGAGTGCCCGGCCTTGCGGACCGGTCTCTTGAATGCAACTTCAGCCCGGCCTTTCAAGCTCTTAGTCGTTGGTCACGGGCAGCCCGAAGGACCCCTCCGGTCCGACGAAGGGGCCATGAGGGGCCGAGGGAAACCGGACCGAGGGGTCCATAGCCCAAAACACCCTCTGGATCCGCCACCGTGCCGCATGCGTTTCTGGCCTGCGTTATTATTTTGGTTGTGAAAATGCATTTCTTTTTGGATATGGTAGCTTTACCCTTTTCGAAACAAAAGCGTCATGATAAGTCCTCCCCTTGAGCATGAACCTTATTTGGGTATACGCATGTGTGCCGTGAAGCCCGAGGCGAGGAAGGGTGGTGTTGGATTGTACGGTGCGTGCGGAGCGGGGGCCGGCGCTTGTCTGCCGCGGAGAACAGTATTGTTCGAGGCTTCCAGACAAGGTTCGTGCGAGGGCACTCTCAGGCTTTGCCTGCCTAAGAAACCATCAGACATATTACAGGCGTTAGGACGTGGAAGGTTGTGAAATGTGCCGTCCACAGTTCTAAAAGTTTTAGGTTATGTATGCGTAAAGGATAGGCGCTTCGCGTTTAGGATTATGGCCACCTGCCAGGCATGCGCCCAACAAACGTGAATAGCATTGGTCCTCAGTTCGGAAACTGAGTTAGCTTACGAAACCTCACATCTTGTGAAGATGTGTGTATGGGGCCAGCCAGACTGCAAGAAATGTGAGTTCTGCTGAGCATATTAGGAGAAGCAGCAACTGTGGCATCAATGTCAGCACATAACTGGTAAATATAAGCACTCATAGTTGGGTTCACAGTCTGAACCAATGGCAGTGCATAGAATGCCAAGTTTCCAGGAAGTATGTGATTGCAAAAGGTATTTCTGGCAAACATTTCAGATTGTTTGTCAAAAATTATGTAAAATGGAGCTCAATTTGGTTTGTCCTGAGTTTGGGGCTTAGAAATGAGAGGTTTAGTACACCAGTGTTGTGTAGGCACCTAGCACAGTGGATGGATTTTTTTTTGGACTAACATGAAAGCACTTAAGGCCCTATACTGTCCCTTCTTGGCATTTCTAGAGTTGCTGTTTTGTTGCATGCTTGAACTGTAAAATGTGGTTCACTGAATGTGTCTGAAGTAACAGCACAGTGGATTACCATACAAATTTCAGGACAGGTACACCCAAAATTTGGGCACTCTGGTGCTGTTTTATTTGAGCTTATTTTGTTTTTGTGGTCACACTTCATCTTGTGCATGTTGTATTGTATTCTGATCAATGTCACACTGTCAGCAGACAAAGATGGGGAAGAAGAACAGATCCAATGCCAAAACTGAGAAACCGAAGAAGTCCTTTCAAGATCAGCTCAAGATTGGAGATTTAGTGAAGGAACTTCTGTCAAGTGAGATGATATTATTGCCGGGCTGGTTTGGGATCTCAACCATGATACCTTGATATTGAGACTGGCACGTGCATGCATGCGTGGGTGTGCATGCATGCAGGCATGCATTTTCATGTGGGTGTGTCATGTATACATACAAATGTATGCATTTTGATGGATAAAATTAAGTATATGCTGTACATTGTATGTACTTTGTCATTGCTTTGTGTTTGTTGCGAACACCGCAATGAACAAATTTCTGTATAGCGCACATTGATTTTTCTGTGTTTCAGAATCTTCTCAAGTAGGCCCAATGAACAAATCAGAAGAATGGGAAAATTATCTGGGCATCTATGATATTTTGCAGCAATTGATAGCGCTGCAGAAATGTAAGTCATTCATGCTTCCACCCTTGCAATCTCATTATCAGCCTGAACATATGAAGTCATGTGTGATGCCAGGTGGCATATGACATCTTTAAGCTTGCTAGTGCTAATGTGTACTAAACACTTGGCCCTCCAGGACTTTTTTGGTTATCAATGGAGTAAGATTTGCACATCCTGCCAGACATTACACATGTTGGGCTGTGTGCAGTCTCTGCCACTGCGCCCATCACTGCACGTGACATGAGTCGGCTGTCTGCCGCCCACGCGTTCTGGCCGGCGCCGTCAGCGCCGCCTGCTGACGGCTGTGTCGCCGCCAGCGCCGCCACCGTCGGCCGGAACAGCCGGCCGTGCGGAGCGGCTGGCCTGTCTGCACACCTGGCTGCTGGAGAACGGCGGCATCGTACACGGCCTGACGCCGGCCGTGTACGCCGGCCTGGGCTGCGGCCTGACGTGCGTCCGCCCGCTGGCCGAGGGCGAGCCGGTCATCGAGGTGCCGCGCGCGCTCATGATGACCCTGGAGACGGCGCGCGCCTCCCGGCTCGGTCAGTCAGTCAGCCAGGCGGCCGGCGGACCAGCACTCTCCTGTAGAGGCCGAGCGGGCTTGGATTGGCTCATGTCGCTGCTAATTCCTGCGGGGTGGAAGTGAACTCGCGTGTCATGTGGGTGGGGAAGGCAACTCCAGGCCATTGGGTCCATAATCTCCCTTTCTGTGTCACGCCATTAGTGTTATATTAAATAACCCAATGCTGGGAGAATGGTTCTCAGTCCCCCTGTGGCGCAACCTAGACTATCGGCGACGCTGGCATAGAACGTGAACCTGGTTCATCCAATGCAAGTTATTGTGTATGCCATAGCCCAGTAACCTGGTGACCAGAGACCACATTCTTCCGTAAAACATGCCCAATGAATGCATCATTAGTAGTCGTGTAGCTTCGCTAAATAACTTGAAAGTCTGTAACTCCACCATGGCTGGGCGGCCTGGCTGCTTATCGTTCTCCCGTATGTGCCTTCACCGTGGCTAGACTGCCCTGGCTGCCTGTCGTTCACTCGTCTGTACCTTCACCATGGCTGAACTGCCCTGGCTGCCTGTCATTCTCCCGTCTGTACTTTCACCGTGGTTGGGCGGCCCTGGCTGCCTGTTATTCTCCCGTCTGTACCTTCACCACGGCTGAGCTGCCCTGGCTGCCTGTCGTTCTCCCGTCTGTACCTTCACCGAGGCTGGGCTGCCCTGGCTGCCTGTTGTTCTCCCATCTGTACCTTCACCGTGGCTGGGCCGCCCTGGCTGCCTGTCACCCCGGCCTTGGTCGTGTGACACGGTGCTCCCGATGCGCGTAGGAGGCCTGCTGGCCACGGACAAGCTGACGCAGGCGCTGCCCCAGCTGGGCCTGACTCTGCACCTGCTGGAGCAGTCGCTGACCGAGGACAGCCGCTGGGCGCCGTATGTGGCCTCGCTGCCGGACACGTACGACACCGTGCTCTACTTCACACCCGACGAGATCCAGCTGCTCAAGGGCTCGCCCTGCTTCGGTCAGTGACGCGCACGAGCTGGTCAGGATGGCCAGGCGATGAGGTTAGCAAGCTTCGATCACTATCGGGACGGTCTGGCGGGTAGGGGAGGGCTGGGAGGGGAAGCCCTGTCCTGATCAGTGACGTAGACGAGCTGGGCAGAGTAGACAGGCGAGGAGGTCAGCAAGCTTAGATCACTATCGGGTATCGGGACGGCTTGGTGGGTGGGGGGGGGGGGGAAGCCCACCCGGTTTCGGTCATTGGTATAGACGAGCTGGGGGGGGGGGGGGGGGGGGGGGGGGGGGGGGGGGGAGCAGGAGGAGGCAGCAGGACTGCCCACACGCCAGCCAGAGCCGGCCACATGGCCTCGATAGTTACGGTGACGGACGATCGTGTCGGTGTTGCACACCATGAGCTGAAATACTAATGTCATTCGTTCATGGGTTTCGTTGTCACGGAAGGCATTCCGTTCCTGCGAAGTTCGAGTGTTTGGCAGGTGGTTTCACCATCTGTCGAATATGTGACGTCATGTTGGTTTGTACAGAGGAGGCTGTGAAGCAGTGTCGAAACATCGCCCGACAGTACGCCTACTACCATGGATTCTTGCATGTAAGTATTGATTCCGCTTTGGCAGAGTATCTCTGTAATAGTACATAATTGCGTTTCTTCCAATTTCGCCCCGTGCTCTGCATGTAAAACGATCTATGTTTGTGTTCAGGTGGTGGCGAGTGTGCAGTGTATGGGAGGGTTGGTGCCGCGAATGAATGATGGACGCTACAGCTCCGGGTCAGGACGAAGCCAGTGCATGACCTGAGGTCATATCCTTAACGTGCTTAACCCCCGCAGCTCCACTGTTAGAAAATGTCCCGGCAATCGTCAGAAACGGCAGTGGGGTTAATTAGGTATAGTCATCTCCAACTAACTGAATGAACCACCCGTTAAAGTTTTGTTTGTGCGGTACCCAGTCGGTTTCGGTCGCTGGTGTTCTAGGAGCGCGGTGTGTACCAATAAGGCGCACCCCATATGAATTCACACGGACTTGAAAAATTATTTGAGAGACTCAGCCCGTCCTCGCTATTTGCAGGTGAATCTCTAGAAGTTAGTCTTAACAAGCAATGGTCTCATTAGCATGCAGTCCTCAGCAACATGGAGAGCAATAATCTAGGAGTTGTGACGCATGAATTGTTAGACTTTTGCAAGCTGTTTTGTCAGATACTTCCCCTGCCACAAGCTTATGTACCAGTCACAACTTCGTAACGAATATCAAGTGTCCAGCAAATAAGTACGTCGTCTGTTACCTAGAGAGTTGTTAACCACAGAGTGGCCAATGTCATATTGTCTGAAACCGATCTCGAATGCAGGAAACTGATCTAAACGGAGAGAGAAGAGACTGGGCCAACTACACAGGCGTCTACTGTTGTGCATTCCACCAAAAATATGGGCGTTTTTGTAATGCGCTAGCGGCAATTTCCACAAATGTAAGTAATAGGAACCACGTGAAATTCGTGTATTGAACTGGACAAGCCTGGCCCTAGCTCACAGTCAGTCAATTTTCGAGTAATCATATTTGTGGCCTTGCACGATAATGATCAATAGTGAAAGGCAGCTTGCTGAATTCTATGCATGGCAGTTACCAACACGTGGATCGAATTCATTTGCATTGGTTGCCGGGGATGTCTGGCTCCATTAGCCTGGTTTTGGCATCATGTAAATGACGACCGACAGGTTCCATGTCTACTGTCTCGTGGCTGGTCCGATGAATGCGACAATGGCCTGGAGCTCGGGGCGTTTCGGCATTGTGTGGACAAAATCGCCCTTCAATACACTAGCAGGGATGAGCAGGGATGTCGGTGTCTGAAATCTGGTCGGGGGCTGAGCTCGATAAGGTTGAGGCAACCCGCCCCCGCCCCCCCCCCAAAAAAAACTAATTTCTCTGATTGTAGACACTTGAATTTGCGTCTCTGATGTTTAGACTGAAACAAAAAGTGTACAGGATATGTCGTAATTCCAACAATGTTTTGCCGCCGAGGAATGACCTCCCATTTTAAGGCGATGCGAAGCTGCTTCTCTGAAAAGCTTGGAATAGAATGTATTTGACAGAAAAAAACATGCTGGTAATTCAAGTTCTTGTGATCAACGGAAATAAGTATCATTCAACGTTCATCAAAGGTGGCCCGAGACGCAAAAAAAAACTTTTATGTAGAATGGCATGGTCAGACACGTATGGACGAGAGCCTGTGCAAAAATTCGAGTACGCTGCCACGGTGTTCATTCGTAAAAGACATGCATCCAAACTCGCTTGACCTCAGCAGACGTGTCGATAACTGAAAGGAGACGAGGACATGCATAAGACTGATGACCGAATGGGGCTCTGTCCTACAAATCAGCGTGGCCGACGCTTTGACACGTGTTAGAAGTTGCTGGGCTGGGCTGACCTTGGCCCTGACATTGACCGTGCCGCGCATATTCCAGCAAAATGTGCGCCATTTGTATTATCTACTTCAGAAACAATGCATCCATTTACCTCACTTGGTAAGCAGTGCAATTATTGAGGGGTATTAGGCCGATATTACCGATCGGCTGTCATGCGTATGTATGACATTTAAGTCATCGCAATACACCACCCAAATTTTCAGGGCTGCGACGCATACGTGGCTGAAAGCCAACAGCCAGGATTTTCAGGACCAATTTATACCTAACGACGTCGAAAAGCTAACTGTCCGAAAAACGGTCTGCATTGTGCATACATACAAACACACAAGATGAAGACGATAGCGCGAAAAATCTTCCATCCGGGTGCTAATGTGTTCTCTGAATTACTTCGCAGAATTCCGGGAACAGTGTTTCGCGATGTCATTCAATTTAGCAAATGCGAAAACGACTTTGGCTTCGCAACGCAATTCTGCGCACCAGATTCGGCCTCGGCTTCAGCCCCGTTATTTTGAACAGTCCGTCCCGTCCCGTTTGTCCGTCCCGGTGGCTCAGTTGGTTAGAGCGCCTGCCTTCCAATCCACCCACCCGTGGCGGGGTGAGTTCTAGTCGCTTCAGTTCGAGTCGCTATTTGCCCTCGACGGGTAGGGGCTGCGCCCGGTGGCAGCGGTCGCTCTAGAGGCCAGTCGACGTTAGAGGGCAGGACGGACGGTGCCGGGCAGTGCGGCACGTTAAGCTGTCGCCACCAAATTCTGTCGCTGACATGGAATTGCGCGATCGGGTGGTAGGGGTCATGGCTCACACAACAAGCACCGCTTAGCGTGAGCCCTGATCCGACAAATCCATCGATTCAAAGGGTTCGGATCAAATCTTAATTAAAAATGAATTTACAAAAACAGATGGGTTGGGCTTGGGATGACATTTAACCTCGAAACCATTGACGCCGCTTCGGATTTTTGTGTACATAGTTCGCATCCGCTTGCATCGAAAGTGGCTCTATGTTTCCAAGACACGAGACCACTTGTTTCGGATTCGGCTTCACCGTTCCGAACTTAGAGGCCACCAGGCTTCTGCCTCGACTTTGTCTTTATGCCACTGTGTTGGCTTCGGGTTCGGCCTTGGCGCGAGAAGCTCGGCCTGGTGGCCGTGCCTGATATCGCACGCCGTCGTCGCTCGTCGGGGAACCCAGCACAGTCGGGAGGATTGGTGGAGCCGCTCGGCGCTCCTTTTGGCATGGGTGAAGATGGTCTACCTCAGAACCGCACCGTCTTCTCCGAGTTGTGTTGCCGGTGCCTGCTAAGGATGTCACATGTTTATTTGCTGGGGATGTGGCGACTTGACTGATAGCCGGTTGGCTCTTAACCGGCCGGTGTGAGTTTTGCTTGGGATGTCGTGGTTGGGACCGACCTTCGGCGAGTGGGCTGTCGGCGTCACCGGTCGTAGCTTGCCGTCGTCTTCGCATGCGCCGAGCACGTGCGGCCTGTTTCAGCACTGCCCCGAAGCTCGGACGCTGGCGCTGCGGGACAACTTCACCTACGAGCGGTACAGGTCAGTCAAGTTCTGTGTTGTCTTTTTCGCATTACCTGGCGCAGAAAAAGCGTTAATGCATGGACACTGACGAGACAACCGTATGTGTAGCGTCTACATTTGTCGTCCGTACTCATTCCCTGCCACCCTTTTTTTAGCGGAGTTTATTCAGAATTCGATATATATATATATATATATATATATATATATCTATATCTATATCTATATCTATATCTATATCTATATCTATATCTATATCTATATATATTCGTTCGTTATTCTTTGATGATCTTCCAGATATGATACCAAGCTTGTTGCGTCATGATCAAGCATGAAAAGAACTTGACAAAAATTGGTTATTATATTCCGACATGTTGTCAAACAGATAGCGCTCTCATGGTGGGAGTCAAGAAAGACTTAAGAATTCGATGCCTGATATTTATATGATGCAAGCCATTGGTGATCAATGCCGGTTCGATCACATGTGGTTAAGCGTTGTAACGCTCGTTACGTGATTTACGTCATACGGGAGCTAAAATCTTGTAGCTTGACCTCGCATTATACATATCAAAATTTTACGTGCATGAAGTACATGGCTGGGGTCATCTAAGAAGGACACACTAGCCATTACCCACAAAATTACTTAATGGCGTCATGGGGTCATGTCATGCTCCTGTTGGGTGTTGATCCGGGGCCTGGGAGCCGAGGATTGAAGTTCAAAAATGTTAAACGTAACTGTACCTTGGTGTCTTTTTGTTAGCTTCTTTGGGGATCCGTCCCTCTTATCCTCTAGTTTGCTTTATCCTGTGTCCTCGCGACACCCCGCTCGTCCGGGGCAGGCTGCGTGCGTCAGCCGCGAGTGGGCCGAGAGCCCCGCGGGAAGGCGGACCCCGACCGGGTACCCAGCGCGCATGCGCGGGTTAAAGCCGGGGGGTTGGCACCCCAGGCGCATGCGAGTCTGCTCCACCGTTAACCATTTTCCTTCATCCCATAGCCCTGAAATGATCATTTCTGGTCGACAGGGCTCTAATCCAAAAAAACAAAAACAATATTAGCTTCTTTGTCGCGGATATGATATAGCGAGTATATAATGGCCTAAGGGGTGTGACCTGACGCACGTTCATAAGCAATGGCTTGCATAGATATATTGTCATACTTACGACACTCCATGGCTTAAATCTCACCTTGATTGTAAGCCAAGGAATCTCGAGAGCGTCATATGTGACAAAATGTTGGAATGTAGTGGCAAATTTTGGGCAAGGTCTTTTTGAACCTGACCATGGCACGACAACTTTTGCATAAGCTATTGGG